TTTTGGACACCTACTAGAAACATCCTGTCCTGTTTTTTAAATATGTTTTGATATTGTCTGCTGTCTTCAGGACATTCAGTAGTTTTCTTTGTTTATCGATTGTAGATTTGTCTCATCCTGCTTTTTTGTTTTATTTGGTTATGCCTCAGCAGGCGGGGCTGTGCATTCTTTGTTGTTTGCTCATCTATGCACATGATACTTTTCACTTCTTTTTCTAATAGGCTATGGTGCAGCAGGGCAAGTCCAGCTGAAGAGGAAGGGCTGGGATGGGTTGTTCATGGCACGTATGGGATGTCCATGGCACGTACTGGAGCTGACAAGGTGAGCCTGTGGTCAGTGCAGGGCAGGTTCCAGTAGGTCATGCCTGTGCTGCTTGGGAGTGCAATGTTCAGCAGACAGGCAGGAGGGAGGTGGAGGGAGAGGTAATGTGTGGAGCTAGCCTGGGTATGGAAAAGAAGAGAGAATAAAGAAACAGGAGCAAAAGAAAAAAAAAGGGCTGAGGGAGCTTGTTATTGGAGTAGAGAGACGAGAAACAGAAATGAAGAAAAACAAAAAGGAAAAATTAAAAAAAAAAGAAAAAAAGCCCACAGGGATTCCATCAGTGTGGCTGTGCAGATCAGGGAAGCAGCTTCCAAGCCACACAGCACAACCTAGCTAGAATGCGTGAAGATGATACACAGCGTCAGGTATTCAGGAGACAGGAAAAGAAGGTAAGTAGAAAGACTAGAAACCAAGAAATGAAGAAAACTAAAAAGGAAAAAACGAAGAGAAAACAAACAAAAAAGCCCCCAGGGATCCCACCAGCACAGCTATGAAGACCAGGGAGCAGTTCCCCAGCTAAGTGGCACTTCACAGCCTGTCAAGAAGCAGAGATGTCACACAGAGTCAGGTGTTCGAGAGAAAGGAGGCGGAGGAGGTGAGAGGCAGGGAAGAAACCAAAAGAGACCGAAAAAGCAACACCAATAACAAGAAATGGAAGAAAAGCAGCTGGCTGGTGTGGGCGGGATGAATATGCGCGGCATGGAACCAGCACCTCCCGTGCTGTGGTTGTGGCCGCTGGGAAGCGGCAGATCAGCCGACCAGGAATTAGCGAATCGGCCCTCTGGGAAGCTGGAATTGACCTGCTGGGAAGCCGAGGATCGGCCAGCCAGAAGCATGAGGAGGCAGTGTGGGGGGTGGGAAAGCATGTCACCAGTTACCAGGTGCTCTGTCTCCTGCTGGGAGCTCCATGAATCTGCTTTCCCATACTCCCTGTCTGCTGATCTCTGACAGGAGTCCAAGATGGTGGACCCATGCTGTGTTAGCTGATAGGGGATCTCTGCTCATAACTCTCCTCACTCTCTCTTCTCTGTCAGTTTCTTATTTCATTCGGTGCTTGGTTTAGTTCTTTACCTCTTCACGTAACACTCAGGGTTCCAGGATTGACATTTGTCTCTGTTTTACTTAGCTTTTCGGGTCTTTGCTGTGGAGAGGTGGTGTGGTGCTTCTGTCTATAGTGCCATGTTGGCTCTGCCCACCTGTTGATTGATTTCTTGACTGATGCTTTCATGGGTGTTGATTGTGGATTCAAGTAAAATGAAAGCTCTGACAACTTCAATATTTTCTGTTTATCATGTTGCTTATTGGTCCAGTTGTGAGGATTTTTGTTTTCTTTATGTTGAGGTGCACTCCATACTGAAGGCTGTTGTCTTTGATCTTCATCAGTAAGTGCTTCAAGTCCTCTTCACCTTCAGCAAACCAGTGTGTGTCACCTGCATATTGCAGGTTGTTAATTAGTCTTCCTCCAATCCTGATGCTGCATTCTTGTTCACAGAATGCAGCTTTTTGGATTATTTGCTCAGCATAAAGATTGAATAAGTATGATGAAAGGATGCAACCCTGACACATACTTTTCCTGACTTTAAACTACACAGTATCCCCTTGTTCTGTCTGAAAGGCTGCATCTTGATCTAGTACAGGTTCCTCATGTGTACAAATAAGCGTTCTGGAATTCCCATTCTTAGCAATGTTATCCATAATTTGTTATGATCCACACAGTCGAATGTCTTTGTGTAGTCAATAAAACACAGGTAAAGAGCTTTCTGGTATTCTCTGCTTTCAGTCGAAATCCATTTGACTTCAGCAATGATATCCTTCATTCCACGACCTCCTCTGCATCTGGCTTGAACGTCTGGTAGTTCCTTGTCAATGTACTGCTGCAACCATTTTTGAATGTTCTTCAGCAAAATTTTACTTGTGTACAACAGTAATGATATTGTTCAATGATTTCTGTATTCTGTTGATCATCTTTCTTTGGAATGGGTACAAACATGGACCTTGTCCAGTCAGCTGGCCAAGAAGCTGTCTTACAAACTTCCAGACATAGATGAGTGAGCACCTGCAATGCTGGATCTGTTTGCTGAAACATCTCAATTGGTATTCCATCAATTACTGAAGCCTTGTTTTTCACTAATGTCTTTAGTGCAGCTTGGACTTCTTCCTTCAGTTATCATCAGTTCTTGATCATACGCTACCTCCTGAAATGGCTGAACGCTGACAAATTCTTTTTGGTACAGTGACTGTGTGTATTCCTTCCATCTTCTTTTGTGTCATTCAATATTTTCCCTGTAGAATCCTTCAATACTGCAACTCAAGGCTTGAATTTTTTCTTCAGTTCTTTCAACTTGAGAAATGTCGAGTGTGCTCTTCCCTTTTGGTTTTCTATCTCCAGGTCTTTTACACATTTCATTATAATACTTTTACTTTGCCTTCTCAAGCTGCCCTTTGAAATCTTCTGTTCAGCTCTTCCACTTCATCATTTCTTCTATTTGGTTTAGCTACTCTACATTGAAGAGCACATTTCAGAGTCTCTTCTGACATCCATTTTGGTCTTTTCTTTCCTCTCTTTTTTTAATGATGTTTTACTTTCTACACGTATGATGTCCTTCCACAACCTGTCTGATCTTTAGTCATTAGTGTTCAGTGTGTCAGATCTATTCTTGAGATGATCTCTGAACTCAGGTGGGATATACTCAAGGTCATATTTTTGGCTTTTGTGGATTTGCTCTAATTGTCTTCAGCTTCAACTTGAACTTGCATGTGAGCAACTGATGGTCTGTTCCACAGTCGGCCCCTGGCCTTGTTGTGACTGATGATATTGAGCTTCTCCATTGTCTTTTTCCACAGATGCAGTCGATTTGATTCCTGTGTATTTCATCTGGCGAGATCCGTATGTATAGTCACTGTTTATGTTGCTGACCAAAGGTATTTGCAATGAAGAAGATGCTGGTCTTGCAAAATTATGTCATGCAAACTCCAGCATTGTTTCTATCACCATATTTTCCAACTACTGATCCTTTTTTGTTTCCAACTTTTGCAGTCCAAACACCAGTAATTATCATTGCATCTAGACTGCATGCTTGGTCAATTTCAGACTGCAGAAGTTGGTAAAATTTTCAATTTCCTCATCTTTGGCATTAGTGGTTGGTGCATAAATTTGAATAATAATCGTATTAACTGGTCTTCCTTGTAGGCATATCAATATCGTCCTATCACTGACAGTGTTGTACTTCAGGACGGATCTTGAAATGTTCTTTTTGACGATGAATGTGACGTATTCCTCTTCAATTTCTCATTCCCGGCATATGAGACCTTATGAACGCCCAATTCCAAATGAACAGTATCAGTCCATTTCAGCTCACTAATGCCTAGGATGGAGCCCTGGTGGCGCAGTGGTTAAGAGATCAGCTGCTAACCAAAAGGTCAGAAGTTCGAATCCACCAGCTACTCCTTGGAAACCCTATGGGTCAGTTCTACTCTGTCCTATAGGGTTGATCTTTATGTGGTCCATTTCATTTTTGATGACTTCCAATTTTCCTAGATTCATACTTCATATATTCCATGTTTTGATTATTAATGGATGTTGCAGCTGTTTCTTCTCATTTAGTTGTGCCACCTCAGGATATGAAGGTACTGAAATCTTTACTCCAGCCACATCATTAAGGTCAACTCTACTTTGAGGAGGAAACTCTTCCCCAGTCATATTTTGAGTGCCTTCTAACCTGAGGGCCTCATCTTCCGGCACAGTATCAGATAATGTTCCGCTGCTATTCATGACATTTTCACTGGTCAGTTTTTTCAGACGTAGACTGCCAGGACCTTCTTCCAAGTCTATCTTAATCTGGACGCTTCGCTGAAACCTGTCCACCATGGGTGACCCTGCTGATATTCGAAATACCAGTAGCATAGGTTCTAGAATCACAGCAACAGGCAAGCCACCAAAGTACAACAAACTGTTAGACACGTGGGGTTTTACAGTTTATTACTAGAAAACCTTGGGCATGAAAAAGCCCATGTAACTGTTTTTAGAGATGACTTTGGGTCGAGTTAGGGGCATAGCATTTTGCTTTCCAAATCAGTCTCTAAGAAAGGAAAAAACAAAAAGCAAAAAAACCCAAAGGTGCTGAGTGAATGCAATAGATTTAATGGAGGGGAAAAGAAAAAAAAAAAAGGCTGAAGCCCCTGGACCTAAGGAAATGGAGAGAATGGAGAAAAATCCAAAATGTTGGCATTGATAGGGTTATGAATCTACCCCTCCAAAGAGACCCAGAAAAAGAGACTCTGCTTTTGACTCTTTATGGGAGGACATTTTTTTGGACTGGGAGCTGCTTTATAAAGTGTTAGAGAATGGTCTTCCTATGGAATCAGATGATAACTTCAGAGATTTACAGCTTCCAGACTGATTCAGTACCGAGTGACTCACTATTGCATATACAAGAAAAAAAATTCCACTGAAGACTATAACCCAGAAGTTGTGTTATTGTTTTTTTAAATTCTGTGTGTACAACTCTCTGCAAGTCATCTAGGACTTAATTCCAACCTTGTTGGTTACTATTTCCCAACCTGTCAAAAATATTCTACACTTTAAGAACATATAAGAAATTCACAATTTCTATAAATAAAAAATTTTCCCATGAAAATTTTAAGTTCAATATGAATCAAAATAGTGTAAAATCCCTTACCTCCAGGTTTATAAGACTGAAAAACTTGATCAGGTTTTCTTGTCTCCAACAGCAGATCAAACATATATGTTGACTTGACTCCACCTAGTAGAAGTCCCATTGGTGTATCTTCTTCTCCTTCGTATGATCTTTCTAGATAATCATGAAACTCATCATATTTAACAAGGCGACAGCAATCTAGGGGTAGGATGTCTTCTAAATACATCATCTAAAAGAAAACCCCCCAGCAAAAAGCAAAAATGTTTTAGTCTGGTGTGTAACTGTAACTATCTACAGGTCCAAACAATAAATATTTATGGTTTGCATCAACGCTCAAAGACATCAATGTCAAAGGCATGACTTACAGGTTATTTTTAAATGACCTTGTTTCATTATCTCAAAATCATACGACTATGCTCTAACATACTTTAATGTCATTTTGGCTTTGAAAAAAGTTAACATTCTAAGCTTTGCTGTTGTTGTTACTCGCTGTCAAGTCTAAACTTTAAATGGACACAAAGTCAATGTATTGGGAGAGTACTGACACATTGAAGGGGTTGCAACCAATGTCACTAAACAATCTGCATAAGTTTTTGAAAGAGAAACTAATTTGCTCTGTAAACTTTCACCTAAAGCACAATTAAAAAAAAAATCAATATATTATAAGCTATTGCTCTATAACAACTAAGCTGGAAACATAACGGGGGAAAACAGCCAACCAGAATATGCATCTTTTGTTTTCTTAATCCAATTTGGAGTAGAATTATTAAGTTGTATATCTAGTAACTATCTTCTTAAGCACAGAAGAACAGCAGCTTCTTAGAGCCACCACCAAGGTCATAGCTTCTATGTCTCCCAAGTGCTAACCCATTCTTAGGGGACCAACCCCTTCAATATTAGCCTCCAGTTCCTACATGGCACAGGAATTCCTATTATAAAATTTCCCTCTAGTGTGTGGCAGTAGTGGAAGATACCCCTTGGAATGCAACATCTCTTGAGTGGGAAACTGAACCTCCTACAGAAACACAGTAGGATTGCTTGGAAGTAATCAAAGTCTGTTTAAGGTTTGTAATTATAGTTTTAAAGAGAAACCTGTAAACCTTTTTATGTCCCCATTGCTCCTACCCCTCCTCTCTTCAGAGATGCAGCTCATATGATTGACTTACCTTTCTCTTCTATTTCTTAGACTCTTTTTATTTGCGAACTTTTACTTTCTCTTTTCAAGACAGTATTTTTCTTCCTGCATTAAAAACTGGTGGCATATAAAATACCCTTACCGATATACCTTATACTATGAAGAGCTATTTTGTTGTTTAGAAATTTTGTCCATTTTACCCTAATTAGTTTCACTATGTTTTCCCAGTTGATGTTTGCAGTCCACTATTAAGTTTAAGGAGCCCTGACAGCATAGTGGTTAAGAGCTCAGCTGCTAACCAAAAGACTGATGGTTCGAATCCACCAGCCACTCCTTGGAAACCCTAATGGGGACTTATACTCCATCCTACAGGGTCGCTATGAGTTGGAATCAACTCGATGGCAACAGGTTTCTTATTAAGTTTAAAGAATTTTTTACTGTAATGAAGGGAACCCAGAGTTTGTTCATTTGTTCATTCATTCATATACCACCCAATTTTGACTTGCCTATGTATCAGGCACTGTACTAAGTACTGGAAACGTAATAGTGTGAGCAATACCAGAATGATTCTTACAGTCTGATGAGGGACAATGACATTTTAATTAAAAGAGCTACACAATTAAATGTAAAATTTCAATACTGGTAAATGCTATGAAGGACAAGTATATAATACAAGTGGTTCTCAAACTGCAGTATGCTTAAGAGGCATACTTGTTTAAAATGCATATTCCCAGGCTCCACCACAGAAATTCTGACTCATCTGTAAGAAGTATCATTTTTAATAAGAATGTGATTCTGGTACAGGTTGTGCTAGACCACACTTTAAGAGCAATGTCAGCTATTTTTAGTTCTCTCATTGGTTCTATATGTAATTATAAATGAGATAAATATATCGAAAAAACCAAGCCCACTGCCATCAAGTCCATTCCGACTCATAGCAGCCCTACAGGACAGAGTAGAACTGCCCCATAGGGTTTCCAAGGCTGTAAATATTTATGGAAGCAGACTGACACATCTTAATCCCTTGGAGCAGCTGGTGGGTTTGAACTGCTAACCTTTTGGTTAGCAGCCAAGTGCTTTAACCACTGCACCACCAAGGCTCCTGAAATAAACATAGTGTGCAATTTTTTCTCTAGGTAATGAATTTAATTTCAGTCAAATGTTGTTAATGTTTACATAGAAAGGGCAAAAACATTTAATTTGTCAAGTATTATAGGTATCATTTAGAATAATCTGTTAAAAGAGTGCTTTGCTTTCTGTTTGCCTTTCAAATCCCACTAATAACTTTCCATTGGCCTTAGAACAAAATGCAAATTTCTTCTATTCCTACAAAGCCTCTAATTTAATTTTATGCTTCTCTACCTGCATTCATGACAATATACACATAATGCTCCCTTTTTCAGTTCTCCGAACATGCCAACCACTTCCTCACCTCAAGAGTTTCTGCACATGCTGTTCCCTCTACTTGAAATATTCTTCCTCAACTTTTTGCATAGTGTCTCTTTTTCATGGCTAAGGTCTCAGAATAAATTGTCCCAACATTCTACTGGTTTATTTTATAGCATATAAACAATAAAATAATTGCAAACTGTGATGTTTAAACATTTTTTTTGTCTGTTTTTCCAATGGATTGTAAGCTCCATAAGGTCAGTGACCATGTCTTGTTCACTCCTGCATCTCTAACGCCTAGTGTAGTAGGCACACAATAAATATTTGTTCCTAATTCTAGTTCTAGGTTTTCAAAAGCTTAACTGACTTTCAGAGTATAAAAATTCTCAAACATAATTGAGTATGTTTCCAGTGGAGAGGTATAAACTATACCTTTAAAAGACATATGAGTTAAAGAGGCTATCAAAGTTACTGCAAATGCTTATATTACTATGGACTTTAATAAAAACTTTGGAAAATATCTTAAGATTGCTATCCAAGATGTCAATATTTAGATGCCAGTAGTGCAATTAAACATACCTTATAAGCCATTTCTACTGCTTCTTTTAATGTCTTATCTTTATGAACCTCCAATTTATTTTCCATCATTACTTGTTTCACAGGATGCAAACAGAATAATTTTATCTAGAAAATGTAAAATATCATCATTAACTCAGCAGGCCAAGAGTTAAAGTTTAATTATTTTGTAGACTGCATTTTTTTTCTGATTGTCAAAATACTATACAATTTTTAAAGCAAAATTGGGATCATTCTCTCCCATGACTATTTTTCTCACTTAATAACTGGTGGTGAATATGACTCGCATCATACGTTCAAAAGCATTAATTTTAACAACTGTATATTTCTTTATAAGCATACATGATGATTTATGTCATCATTCCTCTCCTGATGTACATTATGGTTGTTTCTAATTTTTTTCCTAGTTTGGAAAATACTGTGATGAATATCTCTGGGGTCAAAATCCTTAGGCATCCGTGATTATTTCATTAGGTAGTATTTTCATGACAGAAATTATATAAAAGAATATGAATTTAAGGCTTTTAATACATATGACCCAATTTCTATACAGAAAGGTTTCACCAAGTTATTCTTCTATTAGCAGAATATGAGAAAGTGCATCTCACTGCACCCTCACCAGCACTATCATTATATGTTACTGGATTTTTTATACACAAAATGAAAGAAAATCTTACCTTAGTAATACAGCTGTTACACTGCTTAATGATCATGATAGCGTAAATGTCTACAGAATCAACCCAATGAGTTAGTTTAAGAATTGTGGTTAAGCAAACTTCAATAAACCAAAAAAACCCCCACTGCTGTCAAGTTGATTGCGACCCATAGCAATCCTATAGCACAGAGCAGGACTGCCCCATAGGGTTTCCAAGGCAGTAAATCTTTATGGAAGCATACTGCCACATCTTTCTCCTGCGTAGCAGTTGGTGGGATAGAACTGCCGACCTTTACATTAGCAGCTGAGAGCTTTAACCACTGTGCCACCACAGCTCCTCAGCAAACTTCAATAGCACTTTTTAAATAAAAGTAAAATTATGGACTCTAACCTTGCATGTATTACGCTCAATTTCTCGTTGCCTCTTTTCTTGTTCTTCCAACTCTCTCTCTTTCTGTACCAAGTTTTTAATATGTTCTGGGTATTCATCCACTTCTAGAAATTCTATTAGTAATAAAAACAGGGTAAGATGGTATCAACAATGTTAAGCTTCCTTTATTTACTCTCTTCTGGTATGCTCCCACCGTATACACTTCTACTACAGCACTCATCAAAATATATCTCAGTTTATTCTCTCAACCTGGAACGTGAGCTTCTCTCAAACAAGGGTGAGGAGCTAGCTGATAACCACACATGGTTAGGTCTCGTATTTTAAAAGGCTATATATTTATCTGAAATGGCTATTAAATCCAGGACAACTCTAGTACGTAGACTAAGATTTTTAGGATGAAAAAGCTCTTTAAAACTTGGAAATAAAATCATTTCTGATTTTAAATTGTGCTATCATCATCCAACTGTGTGACCGTGGCAAGTTTACTTAACTTGTCTAGAACTAGGTTTCTTCTCTGAAGAGAAGTTTGTTAGTAGCACTACCCCCACTGAGTTCCACCACTAGTCTGTCAGTTTGCCCTACCGTGGTGGCTTGTGTGTTGCTGTGATGCTGAAAGCTGTATCACCAGTATTTCAAATGCCGGCAGGGACCCAATGTACAGGCTTCAGCAGAGCTTCCAGACTAAGACAGACTAGGAATACGGACCTGGCAGCCTACTTCTGAAAAAACTGGTCAGTGAAATCTTATGAATAGCAGCAGAACATTGTCTGATACAGTGTCGGAAGATGAGCCCTTCAGGTTAGAAGGCACTCAAAATATGACTGGGGAAGAGCTGCTTTCTCAAAGTAGAGTCAGCCTTAGTGACGTGGGTGGAGGAAAGATTTCGGGACGTTCATTTGCTGAGGTGGCATGACTAAATGAGAAGAAACAGCTGCAACAACCATTAATAATCAGAAGGTGGAATGTACAATGTATGAATCTAGGAAAATTGGAAGTCATTAAAAATGAAATGGAACACATAAAGACTGACATCCTAGGCATTAGTGAGCTGAAATGGACTAGTATTGGCCATTTGGAATAGGACAAACATATGGTCTACTATGCAAGGAATGACAAATTGAAAAGGAATGCATCCCATTCATCGTCAAAAAAAAATTTCAAGATCTATCCTGAAGTACAACACCATCAATGATAGGATAATATCCATATGCCTACAAGGAAGACCAGTTAATACGACCATTATTCAAATTTATGCACCAAATACCAATGCCAAAGATGAGGAAATTGATTTTTTATCAACTTCTGCAGTCTGAAATTGATCAAACATGCAATCAAGATGCACTGATAATTACTGATGATCGGAATGCAAAAGTTGGAAATGAAGAAGAATCAGTAACTGCAAAATATGCACTTGGTGATAGAAACAACACTGGAGATCACATCACAGAATTTTGCAAGGCCAACAACTTCTTCACTGCAGATACCTTTTATCAACAACATAAACAGCGACTATGCACATGGACCTCGATGGATGGAATATACAGGAATCAAATCGACTACATCTGTGGAAAGAGATGATGAAGAAGCTCAACATCATCAGTCACAACAAGGTGAGTGGCTGACTGCGGAACAGACCATCAACTGCTCACATGCAAGTTTAAGTTGAAGCTGAAGAAAATTAAAACAATTCCAGGAGAATATATCCCACCTGAATTTAGAGATCATCTCAAGAATAGATTTGATGCACTGAACACTAATGACCGAAGACCAGATGAGTTGTGGAATGACATTAAAGACATCATACATGAAGAAAGCAAAAGGTTATTAAAAAAGAGAGAAAACAAAGAAAAGACCAAAATGGATGTCAGAAGAAACTCTGAAACTTGGTCTTGAATGTAGAGCGAATGGAAGAAATGAAGAAGTAAAAGAGCTGAACAGAAGATTTCAAAAAGCGGTTTGAGAAGACAAAGGGATTATATTATAATGAAATGTGCAAAGACCTGGAGTTAGAAAACAAAAAGGGAAAATCAAGCTCAGCATTTCTCAAGCTGAAAGAACTGAAGGAAAAATTCAAGCTTCGAGTTGCAATACCAAGGGATTCTATGGGCAAAATACTAAATGATGCAGGAAGTATCTAAAGAAGATGGAAGGAACACACAGTCACTATATGAATAAGAACTGGATAACATTCAGCCATTTCAGGAGGCAGATTATGATCAAAAACTGTCAGTACTGAAGGAAGATGTCCAAGGTGCACTGAAGGCATGGGTGAAACACAAGTCCCCAGGAATTGATGGAACTGAGATGTTTCAACAAACAGATGCAATGCTGGAAGCACTCACTGGTCTATGCCAAGAAATTTGGAAGACAGCTGTGGCCAACTGACTAGCAGAGATCCATGTATTTGTGCCCATTCCAAAGAAAGGTGATCCAACAGAATTCGGAAATCATCCAACAATATCACTAATATCACATGCAAGTAAACTTTTGCTGATGATAATTCAAAAACAGTTGCAGCAGTAGATCGACGAGGAACTGCCAGAAATTCAAGCCAGATTCAGAAGACGACGTGGAACGAGGGATATCACTGCTGATGTCAGATGGATCTTGGCTGAAAGCAGAGAATACCAGAAAGACTTTTTACTGACTATGCAAAGGCATTCGACTATGTGGGTCATAACAAATTATGAATCACATTTTGAAGAATGAACATTCGAGAACATTTAATTGTGCTCACGAGGAACCTGTACATAGACCAAAGGCAGTTGTTTGAACAGAACAAGGAGATACTGCATGGTTTAAAATCAGGAAAGGTGTGTGTCAGGGTTGTATCCTTTCACCATACTTATTCAATTTGTATGCTGAGCAAAAAATCTGAGAAGCTAGACTATATAAAGAAGAATGTGGCTTCAGGACTAGAGGAAGACTCATTAACAACCTGTGATATGTAGATGACACACACTTGTTTGCTGAAAGCGAAGAAGACTTGAAGCACTTATGATGAAGACCAAGGACTACAGCCTTCAGTATGCATTATACCTCAGCATAAAGAAAACAAAAATCCTCACAACTGGACCAATAAGCAACATCATGATAAATGGAGAAAAGACTGAAGTTGTCAAGGATTTTATGTTACTTGGATTCACAATCAACGCCCATGGAAGCAGTAATCAAGAAATCAAATGACGTACTGCATTGGGCAAATCTGCTGCAAAAGACCTCTTTCAAGTGTTAAAAAGCAAACAGATCACTTTGAGGACTAAGGTACAACTGACCCACACCATGGTATTTTCAATCACCTCAGATGCACGTGAAAGCTGGACAATAAAGAAGACCAAAGGAGAACTGATGCCTTTGAATTATGGTGTTGGCAAAGAATATTGAATATACCATGGACTACCAGAAGTACAGCCAAAATGTTCCTTAGAAGCAAGGATGGCAAGACTTCATCTTATGTACTTCGGACATGTTATCAGGAGGGACCACTCCGTGGAGAAGGACATCATGCTTGGTAAAGCAGAGGGTGAGTAAAAAAGAGGAAGACCCTCAACAAGATGGAATGACACAGTGGCTGCAACAATGGGCTCAAACATAGCAACAACTGTGAGGATGGTGCAGGATCGGGCAGTGTTTCATTCTGTTGTACACAGGGTCGCTATGAGTTGGAACTGACTGGATAGCACCTAACACCACCACCACCACTCTACAGTTATTACCTGGGATATAATGAAAATTCAATAAATACTGTTGCTGCTGTTGCTTTTACAACAAATGCTATTTGTTTATTATTATTCACTGATAACTATTATCTTTCCTTTGTTCCCAAGGCAGTTTTTTAGCTGCCTTCTAACCAAAGCAGGCAGAATGACAAACAAAACTGATACCTTTATATGTTGTATTTCTCCCTCTACCTAATGTCCAGATTCACTTAAATAAAGAAAAAGCGATTATCATTCCTGAGGCTACTTTTAAACAACCAATGAAAGCAAAACAGCACATACAAAAACTGATTACCACGGACCTACATATGTATAATTATTTTTTACTAAAGTTTTTCTTAATGACCATAACTTCAACTATAACTGAAAGTTTTAAAATGACAATATGAAATTACAACACCTTTTAATAAAACCCATAATTATTAGGCATGAAATAGGAAGAACAATTTATATCACAAACATCACGTGTCTACAAAAGGCACAGATCACTGTATCTAGAAATGAGCTCTAATTTAAAAAAAAATTCCATATCATATTATATAGCGCCCTCTGGTGCTTCATCACAAAATTAAAGTGAGTGTAGAGTGCATAAAGAAAAGAAAACTGTGCTCTGGAAGACTGGGTGCCACAAAGGACACATGAACTACCTCCAGGTAGCTATGACTTGGGAAAAACCACTCTTTGGGATACAGTTTCAGATGACACAGCCTTACTTGCTCAAAGTAAAAGGGACTTGAAGCATTTACTGATGAAGATCAACGACTACAGCCTTCAGTATGGATTACACCTCAACATAAAACAAAAATCTTCACAACTGCACCATAAGTGACATCATAATAAATGGAGAAAAGACTGAAGTTATCAAGAATTTCATTTTACTTGGATCCATAATCAACACCTGTGAAAACAGCAGTCAAGAAATCAAACGACATAATGCACTGGGCGAATCTGCTATATAAGACCTCTTTCAACTGTTAAAAAGCAAAGATGTCACTTTAAAGACTAAGGGGCACCTGACCCAAGCCATGGTGTTTCAATCGCCTCATATGCATGACAAAGCTGGAGGATGAATAGGGAAGACAGAAGAACTGACACCTTTGAATTATGGTGTTGGCAAAGAATACTGAATATACCATAGACTGCCAGAAGAACAAACAAATCTGTCTTGGAAGGAGTACAACCAGAATGCTGCTTAGAGGTAAGGATGCTGAGACTTTGTCTCACATACTTTGGGCATGTTATCAAGAGAGATCAGTCCATGGAGAAAGAAATCATGTTTGCTAAAGTAGAGGGTCAGCGAAAGAGAGGAAGACCCTCAACGAGATGGATTAACACAGTGGCTGCAGCAATGGGCTAATGCATAACAATGACTGTGAGGATGGCGCAGAACCGGGCGGTGCTTCGTTCTGTCGTACATAGGGTCGCTACGCGTCAGAACCAACTCAATGGCACTTAACAACAATCGGTGAAGAAGAATAATTATTTTTGTTCTGAAATCTCCATTCTGAAATGACTGTTATAATTTCCATTAATTTCACAATAAATTATTGAACTATAATATGCCAGACCCTGGAGTACATCTTGGATGAAAAGATGAATAAGACCTAATCCTTGTATCAGCTGAATTCATAATCTGATGAGGGTTTCCAGAAATGTAAAAACATTAAAATGCTTAAAATAGATTTACTCATAGTACAGCAATTTCTAAACATAGGAACTATGGTGAAATCAAAGACAGTGATTCTATTATTTTAATAAAAATTACAAAAAGAACATGAGCAAATATGTCACCTGGTGATGTATCTATACATACATACAATACACATACACACGCACACGCTGTACCTATATGCAATACCACTTCAGAGTTTAGCAAGAAAAAATGGGAGCTCTAATTTTTTAAATTAATAATTATTAAAACAAACTTTGTACATAGGTTTATTTCTGGAATTCTTAATAAAATTAAAGTGTAATGAATGAAATGTGCTAGACTTAAAACTTTGTTTGCTTTCTAAGCAAATAAGCAGAGATACTTAGAGTGGTACGTTGGAAGATCAGTTCATATACGGTCCCCATTCAAAACATTTACATAATAAAACACCAAAAAGCTTGTAATTTGAAAGTAATAATAGCTAACATTGAGTTGCTACTATGTACCAGGCAAGATTTATATGGTTAAAATATTATTTCATTTAATTTTTTTAAGACCCCTAAGAAGTGTTATTATTATTTCCACTTTACAAATGAGAAAAGTTAAGACTTAAGAAAGGCTAAATAACTTGCTCTAGGAGACACAGCTGGTGAGCAATGATTGCTACACAAGTCTGGGTTCATTATCACTACACCAATCTGCATATAAATACAATCTTACTGCAAATAAATATCCAGTTTATTTAACGTAGAGTAAGCCTTGTTTGTCTCTTAGTGTATTAAAAAAGAATTTAACAACTTTTTTTGAAATCTTCTTACTACTTGACAAGAATCATTTTGTAACAGTTTTTATAATTATCTCTTCCAGGCATAAAAAACCTTAATTGGCCCATCATTTAAACGTGGTGATCTCAGTTTGCAAAACTTATGAAAGAAATGAGCTTATAATACAGATTAAAATCAAATAACTGTATGTTGACATACTTGCATTTCTTACTGGATCCTTCAGTCTATATATCAGCATATACGCATTTGTGGAGCTAGCAAAAATATAAAAATGATTAATAGGGACAAAAAGTAGATTGCAAAGATTTTATTTCTTAGCATTATGTATATTTATTTACAATAGTATTTTTTGTTTGTTTCAGACAATTAGAAAATAATCATGCCACTGTTCTCAGGTTTACATTTAAAACATAGTCAAAAAGGAGAATCTATTTTATTTTTAATGAGACATTTATGAGACGATTCCATATCACCTCTTGGTAACACTAAAGTTCAAAAGAACCTGTGTTTTGGAATGCCTACTATAGTTAGGTTGGGGGTCAGAAATTTTTTTTCTGTAAAGAGCCACATAATAAATATCTTAGGATCTGCAGGCCACACATGGTCTCTTAATTCTGTTGTTGTAGTATGAAAGTATCAACAGACAATATATAGAGAGATGAATATGGGTGTGCTCCCATAAAACTTAATTTCCAAAAACAGGCAGCATGCTGAATTTGGCCCATGAGTAGTTTACTGAACCCTGAGTTAAGTCTTTAATGGTAAAAACTATTGAAAAGTTATAATTGATTCTAATTTATAAATCAGCTGAGGGCTTAACCACTGTTGCGCCAGAACTCCTTAACTTATAAACACTAAAAATTAGGAAATTACTTACCTCGCAAAAGCACTGGAATAATATCCTCTGCTTCCTGAAGATCCACCATGTGTCTTCTTAATGTCCTCTTGCGTTATCTAAAAAGTCATAACATTATTTTCTATTTTGGAAAACCTATTAACACTGTTACATTAATGTCAGTATGTAATCCAATCTTCAAACCTCAGAGTCAAATGCTACATATTTTCAAGATGGATCTTTGCACACAGATATCAAATTATAAAATATAATCAGTGGCTGCTACCTGCCAATCAGTTCTAGTGCTCCTATTTAGGTGGTTTACATGAAGGCTCAGGGCAAGAGGAAAATCAGTAGTCTGTCTCTAGAAACATTCAGCAAGCCCAAACAAAACAAAATAAACAACAACAATAAATAAATGCAAGACATTTACTGAAAGCAAAAAGGAAGGACTGATTTGGCATGGGTCTTAAGATGGTTTACTGGATAGACTGATTCTCCAGTTTTTAATGGACCCTGTTATTAATTAGAAAGAAACATTCCTACACACGTCTTTCAAAACAATAATCTTAAAAAGTCCTCTCCTTACCCTGCTGACATGTTGATCATTGAAGCTGTACCACTGCTCATCACTGAATGACTTTATACAAGCATAATAATGACCACCAGCAGCACTCCCCGAATGAACCATAACAGAGAAGAGCTCATAGATCAGGGAATTCTAAGGGAAAAAATAAAAGTAACTCAGAGAGGAGGAAAAACACTATATCAAAACTCTTTTTTTTTTTTTGTACACTTCTTATTCTCTATCAGCACATAGTGAAGCAACATGATAGTTGTATATATGTTAGGCCAAACTCCCTAAGATAAAATTAAAATGACAAATCACCAAGTAATTTTATATGAGTTTAGAGTTTCACAAATTTCATTTAGTGCATTTCTTTACATCCTAATTATGCTATAATCTTTGGAGCCATACACATCTGTAAATATACTGCATTTTAATGTAAATAATGAAATAATGTGCAAGTTATAAATCTTTTTTATAGCGTGTCCTCCCCCATAAGGTATTTTCATAAACGTGCTATGCTAATTTTTCGTACGTTTCTTTATGTAAAAATTAATGGTATGAAATTTTAGAAGCAGTTAATAAATACAAGCTGTTCTAATATGCACATCCAGGACCAAGAAATCACAAATAGCATACTGTTTTTTTATTCAAATAAGATTTCTTCTATTTCCTTTACAACAGAGTGAAGGGAGATACTGTATTTTTACGCACATAACGTGCACCTTCTATGTTTGTTTGCCAATCACTCCCCCGCCCATGAGGTATTTTCCTATGTGCTGCTATGCTAATTGTTTTTACATGTTGCTGTAAAGAAAAGTCAGCATAGCATACTTATGAAGATAAGAAGATAAGGAAGATAAGAATAAAACAAAGTAAGAGTATAAAAAAGGGACTTTGACATGAGAAGATTCCTCAGATGGTGACAAGCATGCTTTCTTTTATTTGCTTTTCTAGAAGAACTAGAGTTTCTCTCCCCTATCCTTTGCTTAAAAAAAGCATCTGAGCAATGCTACCTAAAATTCTCTAGACATTCCAGTTTATTTAAGAAATAACTTTAAACTGACTAATATTATTGATCAAATAGTGAAATTTCTAGAAAAAATTCTAAAAATATCTGGTAATTTCAATATGCTGGTTCATATTTTATTTCTAAAACTAAAATTAATTACAGTGGTGACTGAGAGGAGCTTTCAGAATTTACCTGTAATCCAGAATTTGTGTTTAGAGCACTGAACAACCTATGAAATATGGTAACTCTTTGTGTTTAAATAAAAGTGTTTTGGATGTAATAAGTAAAAATACAGCTTATTATCATAGGTTTTTTGTGTGTCAAATCTTAAAAGCACCTTTTGGAAGTGTGAACATCAAAACATCCTTAGAAGAATTTGGAGACACTGGACAAAATCTTGATATGACTGAATGCTATGAACAATATCTTCTGAAATAAACAGACCTCCCTATACAACTGGAAAAACCCTGCCAAGCAACAGCTATACTATTTTTAAAGTTTTATCATAATTACCAAAGCCAAAAGGAAATATTTTTCCTGGAACATTCTGATTGCTAGACCACAATAATGGTAGAAGGCTCTTAAGACTGAATCATTCTGAAATTCTGAAAATGAGAATTGCATATATCATAAGCAAAAGATAAAACGGCCTATTTTTGAAAGAATACCAAAACCCAAACCAAACCCATTGCCATCAAGTCTATTCCAACACATAGGGTGAAACTGGCTGTAAAGGTTTCCAAGGCTGTAATCTTTATGGTAGCAGATTACCACATCTTTCTCTCACAGAGCAGGGGGTAGGTTCGAACCACCAACCTTTCGGTTGGCAGCCAAGCGCTCAACTGCTACGCCACCAGGGCTCCTTTTTGAAAGAATAAGGGTTCTTAAATGCAATAATCTTAGTTTCAAATCACAAATAGATTGCTAAGAGGTAGGAAGGAGGATAAGAAGAGTGACTTCATCCAAAAAAAATACATTCTAATTTTCTCTTCTAATATTGGGCAGCAACTTGACAGCAGCTAACAACAATAACAAAGCATACATTACTAAATAAATATTCAAACACAGTACTGCTAAATAGAATTATACATTTCTAGAGCTGGGAAGAACAACAGAAAGCATCTCGTCCAAATTCCTCTAAACTGTAGCAACTGAAAGACACACAAATTCAATAATTTGTCCAAAGTGACACAGTTCGTTAATGGCAAAGTCAGAACTAAAACCCAGATTGTTTAACCCTCTACTGCAGGGATCTGTAAAGGGTAGACATTAAATATTTTAGGCTTTGTCGGCCATGGAGTCTCTGACACAACTACTCAACTCAGCCATTACAGCATGAAACCAGCCATCCCATTGCCATCGGGTCAATTCCGACTCATAGCAGCCCTACAGGCCAGAGGAGAACTGCCTCATAGGGTTGCCAAGGTTGTAAATCTTTATGGAAGCAGATTGCACATCTTTCTCCCATGGAGTGGGTAGTAGGTTAGCAGTCAAGCACTTAACCACTTGTCCTACCAGGGCTCCTTAAACCAGCCATAGGCAATATATAAACAAATGAGAGTGGATATGATCCAATGAAACTTAATTTATAAAAACAGGTAGCACTGAACAACAGATCCTGGAAGCTCAGAAACACCAAGCAGGATAAACACCCCACCAAAACAAAATGCAAACAAACAACCAAACAAATCCCCCCGCCCCCACCGTGAACTATTTAGGTATATCATATTCAAACTGCATAAAACAAAAGACTGAAACATCTTGAAAGAAGCCCGGGGGGCAGGGGGGAACATTACTTCTAGAGAAACAAGGGCAAGAATTACAGCATACTTCTCATCAGAAACTATGCAAACAAGAAGAGTGCAATGAAATACTTAGTGTTGAAAGAAAAAAATCACCAACCCAGAATTCTATATCCAGTGAAATAATCCCTCAAAAGTGAAGGAGAATTAAAGATATCCTCAGACAAACAAAAACTGAGGGAATTTATCACCAGCAGACCTGTCCTGCAAGAAATGTTGAAAGAAGTTCTTCAAGTAGAAAGAACATGATATAGATCAGAAACCCGGATCTATGTAAAGAAAAGAGCATCAGAAAATAAATAAATGAAGGTAAGATAGAATCTTTTATTTGTCTTATTCTTAATTGATCTAAAAGATAACTGTTTAAAGCAATAATAGTAATAAACGTATTGGGTGATTATAGCATATGGATAAGTAACATGAATGACAGCAATGTTACAAGAGACAGGAGGGAGGCATTGGGAATACTTTGTTATCAGTACCTACGCTTATACATGAGGAAGGACAAGGTTATTTGAAGGCAGATTTAGATTAGTTATAAATGTACACTGTAAAGTCTAGGATAATTGCTAAAATTTTTTTTACGTATAACTGATACACAAAGAGAGGAAATAAACAGAATTATATAAAACACTCAAAAAAAGAGACAGCAGAAAAAAGAAGAGGAAAAAGAAACTAAAAGCAAATGCAACTAATAGAAAACAATTACAAACACAGTAGATATTAATCAAAGTATGTGAATAATCATTTTAAATGTGAACGGTCTAAAATACATCAATTAAAAGACAGAGCTTATCAGAGTAGATTTAAAAAAAAAACAAAAAACAAAACAAGACCCAACTATGTTATCTACAAGAATTCACTTTTAAATGCAAAGACTTAAAGAGGTTAAAAGTAAAGGGATGGAAAAAGACATACTTTCTTTTTACAAAAGAAAGCTGGAGTAACCATATTAATTCCAGACAAAGCAGACTTCAGAACAAGGAAAATTATCAGATAAAGAGGGGAATATGTAATACTAAAGGGGTCAATTCTCTAAGAGGACATAAAAATCTTAAACATGTATTCACCTAAAAAAAAGTGTCAAAATACATAAAGCAAAAATTGATAGGAATGAAAGAAGAAATAGACAAAATCACTAACATGGCTGAAGACTTTCAATACCCCTCTTCAGTAACTGATAGATCAAGGAGGCAGAAAATCAGTAAGCATATAGATGGCCTGAAAAGTACTATCAATCAACTTGATGTAACTGACATTTATAGAGTATTCTATTCAACAACAGCAGCATATACATTCTCAAGCTCACATGGAATATTCAACAAAATAGACCACATTTTGAGTCATAAAACACATCTTAACAAATTTAAAAGTACAGAAATCATATAAAGTATGCTCTCAAACTACAATGGAATTAAACTAGAAATCAATTAACAGAAAAATGACCAGAACATCCCCAAATATTTGTAGCTTAAACAATATAATTCTAAATAACAAATGGGTCAAGGAAGAAGTCTCAAGAGAAATTATGATATAGCTTAATCTAAGTGAAAATGAATATGCAACACATCAAAATTAGAGGGATGCAATGAAAGTAGTGCTTAGAGCGAAAGTCAAACCACTGAATGTATATATTAGAAAAGAAGATCTAAAATCAATAGTCTAAACTTCCAACCTAGAAAACTAGAAAAAGAATTAATTTTAATTAAATTTTTAATTAATTAAATCCAAAGTAAGCAGAAGAAAAGAAATATTGAAAATCAGAGCAGAAATCAATGAAATTGAAAACAAGGGAATTAAAAGAGAAAAATCAATGAACTCTACAACTAGCTCTTTAAAAAGATCAATAAAATTGATAAACCTCTAGTCAGGCTAACTGAGAAAAAAAAAGAGAAGATACAAATTACTAATAATAGAAAAGAAGGAGCCATCACTGTTGACCCCATGGACGTTAAAAGGATAATAAAAGAATACTATGAACAATTCTAGAAGCCCTGATGGTTAAAGTGCTTGGCTGCTGACCGAAAGGTCAATGGTTCAAACTCACCAGCCGCCCTGGGAGAAAGATGGGGCAGTCTGCTTCCATAAAGATTTACAGCCTTGGAAACTCTATGAGACCATTCTACTCTGTCCTATAGGGTCTCTAGGAGTCGGAATTGACTCAACAGCCATGGGTTTCATTTGTTTGGTTTTATGAACAACTCTATGCCCACAAATTGGATATCTTAGATAAAATGGACCAATTTTTGAAAGATGGAAAGTATTAAAACTCACACAGGAGAAACAGACAACCTGAGTAGCCCTCTATCTACTGAAGAAAATGAATTAATGATTAATAACCTTCCAAAAAAGAAAGCACAAGCTCAGATGGTTTCACCAGTGAATTCTACCAAACATTTAAGGAAGAAATAATACCAATTCTCCATAATCTCTCCCAGAAAATAGAAGCAGAGGGACCACTTTCTAACTAATAAGGACAGCATTATCCTAACACCAAAACCATATTAAAGACATTCCAAGAAAGAAAAACGACAGACTGGTATCTCTCATGAACACAGATGCAAAAATCCTCAGCAAAGTATTAGCATATAATATGTAACAAGGTATAAAAAGAATTATATACAAGAACCAAATAGGATTTATTCCAGGTATGCATGGCTGGTTCAACATTTAAAAATTCCAATCTATGTAATCCATCATATCAACAGGCTAAAGAAGAAAAATTATATGATATTATCAACTGATGCAGAAAAGGTATTTGACAAAATCCAACACCCATTCATGATAAAAAACTTTCAGCAAACTAGGAATAGAGGGAAACCTCCTCAACTTGATAAGCACCTACAAAACTCAATAAACTTCTCAACTTGATAACAACTGCAAAAACCTACAGCTTCTGCTTAATGGTGAGAGACTGAATGCTTTCCCTCTAAGATAAGGAACAAGGCAAGGACGTCCTCACTTACCACTCCTATTCAACATCATACTGGAAGTTCTAGCTAGTGAGCTATGACAAGAAAAAATGAAGTAAGAAAGGTATACAGACTGGAAATGAAGAAATAAAACTAACATTAATTGCAGACGACATGATTGTCTGTAGAAACACAGACACAGCACTGGATTTGGCCCACCAGCCATAATTTGTCAATCCCTGCTCAAATGCAATGTTCTTTATAAATTATAATGTACCCACTATGTTATTCATTACATAGCAATTCCTGTTCATCTATCTGACCTGAACAAGATAGCTTTAACATATAAGGGTAATGGTGATGATGGTGAGAATAATGGTAATGGTCTAAAATAATTTATGTAAGTGTAGCTCTATTATCAAATCTCACTTAAAAAAATCACTGTATTTAACATGACTCTAGGCTATTGATCAGTCTTTAGGTTATTTATTATTCACACCATGCTCATGACATTCTATCTATAACTTGCCCCTCAATAAAGCTTAATATATGATTGTGAAAGAAATGGTTTGATGAAACATCAAAATCATTGACACAGAGACAAAAGAAAAAAAAAAGACACTATCCCAGAGATAATCTAGTCTTGTGGCTTTCAAATTATGATCCATGGAACTATGTCATTTTCTTGAAGTACCTTAAGGGCTGTCATGTGGGAGCGGGAGGGAAACTGAGGACTTTAGCTTTACCCTACCTCAAAAAGGTTACTTCTAAAACCCTGAAACTATTGCCCTGAGGTAATCTTTAAACCTTAAACCAAAAATATCCCCTGAAGTCTTCTTAAAACCAAACAATAATTTATTTTAACTAGTAAAAAATGTCTGCCTTGAGCATTATGCTCTTTTAAGAACTACCTATATGGAATCCAACTGACAAGAGCAACTTGAAAGATTAGACAGGAACTCTAGGGGGCAGTGAATTTATGTTAATGGAAGAGGAACAACTCAGAAAAGGAGGGTGAAAATGATTACACAACTCGAAGAACGTAATCAACGTCACTAAATGGTGCATGTAGAAACTGCTGGTGTGTTTTTCTGTATATATTCTCAACAACAATAGCAACAAAATAAATGAAATTATATACACACATACACACACACACACATATATAAAGATTACCTCTATTATTAACAGTTTTATAAAGGGTTCTATGGCCAATGTTTTCATTGCTCTATATGTGAAAACTCAGATGTGATATAAGATTTTGAGACTTGCTGCAACATTAAAGGTAGAGGTTTCCTGACTTAGAATCTTGGTTTCCTGAATACCAAGGCAGCCTTTCCACACTACCACCCAGCTTGCTTACACAGTTACAGTTCAGCCTCCCAGAAATTAATGACTCCACTAGTAAGTAGTAGTTTTTCCTAAAGTTTAATTATGATCATATACATACATACAAAAAAAGTCATAAAAAAGTCTTAAAAAAAATTAAGCTTCTTAAAAAGAACTTCATAGTATTAGCTACAACAATTATACAACAGTTTAGAGATTACTTTATTCTCCCCTTCAACTAAAAAACACAAAGAAAAAATGGTACCTTTTCAAGTCCAGGTTTTGAAATCTTCTCATTTCCACTATTGCTTTCAAGGCAGATTCCTTCATCAACACCATCATCATTGGAGAAGTCATTGCTCATCTGATCACTGTGACAACTGCCTTCATTTTCTGCTCCACTGTCAGTGCAACTTTCAGTCTGGGGAGATTTCTTAATAAAACATAATTATCTTAAAATTATAAGCCAAATAAAGACAAAATATAGTCAACAAAACTTTTTGTTCACTAACTCCCATAATTTCAAGAAATTCTTATTAATAAAAATATTTATTTTAAGTCAGTTTATATTTTCTCTTGAAAACAATAAAATAACTAGTGTATTTTAAAGGCATTTCTATATATCCTTGAAATTCTAACACGACAATTAGTGATCTGGACTTCTATTAAACCCCATTTATGTTTATAGCTGCAAAGTGACAATATAAAATTACCATCTCTTTCAGCAAAATCCATAAAAGCAGAGACTCTGAGCTCCAAAATAAGCTTCTTGTCCTCAAATCCCCAAAGAATATCACCTATTTTCTTGAAGAAAAAAGTTCAATCCAGTCTATTACTGTACTAGGTACTATACATAATTAGAAAGAAAAATAAGACATTGTACCTATCCTCAAGAATTTTATACTCTAATGTGGAGCGGTGGAAATGTAACAACAGCAAATCATACTTATCCATGCTTTTACGGTTTTTAAATCACTTCTATGCAAAATTAATTTGAAGAATTCCACTTCATAGATATCCCCAAACAACCTTAGCCTTTCCCCCATTATTTTAACATTACATATATGTGTGTGTGTGTCTGTGTGTATACATATATCTGAAACTGTTTTTATTTCAATAGTGTTAGAATGCTTCTCTAAGATACAGGGTGTCGATATGCATAAATCATTGCTTAAAAAAAAAAGTCTTAAAACAACCCAATATGTAACAAGTACCAACTTTTTGCCAAGAACTATGTCATTGTACAGAACGTGTCTAAGATACAGTCCTCATCTCTCAAGAAAGTTTTGTTCAAGGAAAAACGGAGGTGAAAATCAACTTTAGATCTCTATACTAATTTCAAAGACACAATTTCTGAAAACTTCAACTAAGCCAGAACATCTTGTCTTCTCCCAAGAACTAGACCTAGAACTTCCTAAAAAGTACTGTCAAACTTTATATCTAGGTATTCTTCCCTTGGGAAAGATTTCTCTTTATAAGAAATACATTAGGAATATACAGAAGATTGATCTGACACTGATCTCTCTGTGTAAGAATCCTCCAAGGATTATGTCTCCTTTGAAAGTTCAGTATAATTTGGGAAGATATTCCAACTCAAGCAAAAGTATTTGATATATTATTTTAAATTAAATCTTTCAAAATGTCATGTGGTCATAGCTACCATTCAATGAACATCTATTTTACCAGGCACTCTCTTCTTACAGAAGCTATAAAAAGCAAGTATTACCTTACTTTATAGACAAGGAAACAGGCTCAGAAAGGTTACATGAATTATCTAAAAATCAAGAAGCAGGACAAGGTTTTGCACCCACATCTAGGTAGGCCCAAAACATGTGCTCTTCTAGTCCACAATGCCCCTTAGTACATAAGTACTAAAATAAAACTTGATGGATGTTTAAAATTATTTTTCAGCTCCTGGGAAAAAGGCATTTTTATATTTATAGTCCTCAGTTCGGATCAGAAAAAACACTTTATAGTAGTTTTGAGAATAAAGATTTATCACTCTGTAACAACTATACTAAATGGCTGTAGATATTCTCCATAACGAAATCACAACAGTTTCTAAAAGAACAGAGTAGGACATTACGAATCTTTTACTGTATAAGGGTAGCTTCTATCAAGATGAGAGCCTGACACCAGTGTCAACTTACTCCAAATAGCTCCTATAAAAACATGACTAAAACAGATTAATGAAAAATGTAACACAACAAAATACAATAAATATTTACCTCATCTTCAACATCAATAAATGTACTCATATCTAGCTCCTCAGGAAAAGTCATCCGATCATTCAGTTTAATCCTGTGCATTGTTGTATAATCAAAATCAAACCTTTTTAACTGTAAGGTCAGCAGATAAGGAAAATGCAAAAACCGAAGGCCCTAAATAAAAAAAGAAAGACTCTATGGAATACTGAATATTAGCACAGAAAATTAAGTATTAATTTCTATATGGCGTCTACCTTTCGTGCATCACACTTCTTCTTACAGCGTTCACAAAAATACTGATTTGGACCATCCAGGATCTCTGGCTGAATAAATGCATGCAATGCTTCTTCCTAGTCAGGAGAAAAAGCGATTGTTTTATAATTACTTTAAAATATTGTGATATCAATGACAAAGTCCTGAATCTAAAAACAGTGCAATTATCTAAATACTTGTAAGTAGAATCGCTAGAAAAAGCAGGAACTCAAAAGGGTGGAAACAAAAACAGCAAAATATTATTATCACTACAAAAACTCATTCTGCATGAGCTCTGCCTTTGCCAAGTATTATTTTAAAAGTTATGGTTCTGCAAACCATAGTCATTTCTACTTAATTTTTATAGTTGACTTTGCATTGTAGTGTTTGGCTAAATAATTTAACAAAAATACTCAGTCTTCAGATTAAAAAGTAATTCCATCCTTCTTAGAGAAGCAGTTACATGCACCATGTTAATCTTGGAGAAGGAGGCATTTTTAAATTGTGCAATAAGTAACAGTGACATCTGAAGAATACATACTATCCACACACTTAATAATCTAATGATTACCCCTAATCATGAAATTTAGGGTTAGTAATCCACCACCACACTAGTTTATAAAGACTTAAAAACACTGTGCAACCTTCTTACTGCAAGTCAGATACTGCCCAATTTGAAAATGGATAATGGAAGTTCCTGGACTGTTTACTGAGTAAAACCATATGGTTCTCATTTTTCCATACAGCCTTAAGGCAGAAGCAAGAAACTCAGCATGCATATTATTAAAGAATCAAGTGGACATAAAATTCACTTTAATGTTTAATCACTGGCTTTTCACCATTTAAGATAAGTTTTAGTTAATACAATATATAAGACTGGATGGATAATCTCAAATTTCATCTGCTGTCATTTTTCTTCACAGACGGTCTAAGCAGAAATACTAATATTTATTACATGTAAAGAAAAAGAAATGGAATCATTAAGACATACAAAATATCTTCAAATATTTTTCTTCTGATACAGAACGAGTTGTTCCTCAAAAGACATATAAAGAAAGCTTGATCTGACCAAAAGGACGTAGTTGCAAAATAGCTAGCAAAGCTTATAAAACTGCTGTTGTTAGGTGTCGCTGAGTCGGTTCTGACTCATAGCAATCCTATGTAAAACAGAACGAAACACTGTCCAGTCCTGTACCATCCTCATAATCGTTGCTGTTTGAGCCCACTCTTGCAGCCACTGTCTCAATTCATTTCGTTGAGGGTCTTCCTCTCTTTTGCTGACCCTCTAGTTTACCAAGCATGATGTCCTTCTCCAGGAACTGGTCCCTCCTGATAACACGTCCAAAGTACGTGAGACGAAGTCTCGCCATCTTCGCTTCCAAGGAACATTCTGGCTGTACTTCTTCCAAGACAGACTTCTTCATTCTCTGGCAATCCATGTTATACTCAACATTCTTTGCAAACACCATAATTCAAAGGCCTCAATTCTTCTTCACTCTCTCTTTCTCACTGTCTAGCTTTCACACGCATATGAGGCAACTGAAGATGTCATGCCTTGAGTCAGGTGCACCTTAGTCCTCAAAGTAACATCTTTGCTTCTGAACACCTGAAAGAAGTCTTTTGCAGATTTGCCCAATGCAATACGTCGTTTGATTTCCTGACTGCTGCTTCCATGGGTGTTGATTGTGGATCCAAGCAAAATGAAATCCTTAACAATGTCAATCTTTTCTCCGTTTATGATGATGTTGCTTATTGGTCCAGTTGTGAGGTTTTCTGTTTTCTTTATGTTGAGGTGTAATCCATACTGAAGGCTGTAGTCCTTGATCTTCATCAGTAAATGCTTCAAGTCCTCTTCGCTTTCAGCAAGCAAGGTTGTGTCATCTGCATATCGCATGTTATTACAGAGTCTTCCTCAATCCTGATGGGTGCTCTTCTTCAAATAGTCCAGCTTCTCAGATTATTTGCACAGCATACAGACTAAACAAGTATGGTGAAAGTATACAACCCTGACGCACACCTTTTCTGATTTTAAACTACGCAGTATTCCCTTGTTCTGTTTGAATGACTGCCTCTTGTTTTATGTACAGGTTCTGCATGAGCACAATTGTTTCAGAATTCCCATTCTTCACAATGTTATTCATAATTTGTTATGATCCACATATTGTTTGACACAGTACACCTTGGAGCAAGATAAAAAATATGAAAAGATATTTAAAAATCTTCTAAATTCAACTCCCTCTCTACTTCTGTTCTCGGGATACAGGTAGTACTAAGTGGGGTGGGGACCAAACAGCTGGCCTTTGTTTGTCTATTCCACATGACCAATCATTTTACTGGAGTTTGGAGGAAAAGACACTTAGAAAATAATTTAACTCTAAAGCACACTTTAACAATGAAATATGGCAAATTCTGTAAAAACAACTGAGAAAAAAATTTAAAAGATGTCAGGTCTAGGCCTGACATCAAATTAGACCAAAACAACTAAACCCATTGCTTTCAAATCGATTCAGACTCATAGTGACCCGACAGGACAGAGCAGCACTGCCCCATAAGTTTTCAAAGGTGAAGCTAGTGGATTCAAACTGTCGACCTTTTGGTTAGCAGTCTAACACTTAACCAATGTGCCACCAGGGCTCCTCAAATTAGTTAGGCTTTATGAATACAGGTAATTTGTACTGGGAAAACACTAAATACACATATATTTTAACAATATACGGAGGGAGAGTGAGCAATTTATGCAATTTAAATTCCACTTTAAATCTATACTAAAGGTGTAGTGTGTTAGTCTCAGATTACAGTTTACAACTAGGGCTACATTTTTTTTTTTTTTTAATAATATAAAACAGAAAAAGCTTACAAGAACAGAGAACTCCCAAGAAAATCTTTACTCAGATTCACCAACTCTTTTAACATTTTGCTACTTTTGCTTTATAATTCTCTCTTTACACACACACTATGATGCATTTTTTCTGAATCATTTGAGAATAGGTTCACACATTATACTTTACCTCAATACTCTAACGTGATTTTTTAAGATTAACTATATTCTTACATAAACAGTACAGCTATCAAACTCAGGAAATTTTTATATCGATAAAGTACTTCTGTCACTCTATATTCCAATTTTGTCAATTATTCTAATAATATCCTTTATAGCACTTCTTCCCCTCAGTACAGGATCCAATCCAGGATCACAGACTGCATTTGACTGTCTGTCTCTTTAGATTCCTTTAATCTGGAGCAGTTCCTCAGCCTTTCTTTCTTTCGTGACTTTTTTTTTTAAGAATAGAAGCCAGTTATTTTATAGAATGCTCCTCATGATTAGATTCAGGTTATGCATTCCTTGCTAGGCATAAGTAATGACACGTCCTTCTAAGGGTATCACAGTTGTAGGCCATAATGTATCTAACCTCTCACTGGTGATGGGAACGTTAATCACCTAGTTGGGGGTTGTCCAGTTTCTCCACAATATAGTTTTTATTTTCCCCTTGCAAATAATAAGCAATCTGTAAGGAGACACTTGGGGATCATGCAAAAATCCTGATACTTACCCAAACTTTCCACCCTAGATTTAGCATCCACTAATGAAGTCCCTAGAGTTCCTGGGTGGTACAAGTAGTTAACATGCTCAACTGTCAATTGAAAGGTTGGAGATTTGAGTCCTCCCAGAGTCTCCTTGGGCGATCTACTTCTGAAAAATCAACCACTGAAAACCTTATGCAGCACAGTTCTACTCTGACATGCGTGAGGTCACCATGAGTTGGAATTGACTCGACATCAATTTGTTTTAGTGGATTCCTGCCTAAACCAAATTTTAACATATTTGTCTTATGAGCCAACTTCAAAATATTTTTCTTTTAATATGTTAAGTTAAACCTATTCACATTTATCGATATAACTGATAACATTTGGTCTCATCTGTCATTATTTTGTGCTATTAATTATTGTGTATCAGGTAATATTTACTGTATTTTTATGCAAATAATGCATGCCTTCCACGTTTGTTTGCCAACTGCTCCTTCCCCTGCGAGGCAATACGCTTATGAAAACACCATGCATGGGGATGGCACAGTTGGTAAACACAGCAGACGTGTGTTGTGTAAAAATAACAGTACTGTTTCATTTCTCTATGTGGTGTGTCTTCTTTGCTGTTTTTAAAATTTTCTTCTAGTATTTAGGAAAATCAGTAATTTTATACTAGTTGTTACTTTTGCACTTCAACTTTTGTTAGTGCCCTTAATCCCCTTTATTCTTACTTAATCTTTTGATGTCTGGTCTGCCAGTTTTAAATAGTATCCTCTGTCTTCCATCTATTACCTATACAACAGTCAGTGATCTTATTCTACTTTCCCTTTCTCTCTCCTTTCTCCCAATTTTTAAAAGGTATACTCTTTGTACTTTGTCTAACATTTAAAATTTCATACTATTCTTCTACTCATGTGCTCACCCTTGTTTTACTCTTGCTGCTTTTAAGACTGTCTCCTTGACTTCAACTTTTAGCATTTTTACTACATGTCTATTTGTGGGTCTCACTGCATTTAACCTAGATGGAGTTTGTTGAGCTTTCTGGATGTATAGGTTATTGTTTTTCAATAGATCTAGGAAGTTTTCAGCCATTACTTCTCAAAAAGTTTTTCTTCTCCTTTCTCTCTTTCCTTTCCTTCTGATACTCCCATTATGCATTAACTGTTACATTTAATGTCCCACATTTCTCTGAGACTCTGTTCATTATTCTTCATTCTTTTTTCTCTGTTCTTTGGCTTGTATAATCTCCATCAATCTACTTTCAAATCTTCTAATTCTGTCTTCTGCCAATTAAATATACTGTAGAGCACCCTAGTGAAGTTTTAATTTTAGTTATTGTACTTTTTAACTCCAGGATTTCCATTTGATTATTTTTAAAAATTTCTATCTCTTTTTTGAAATTCTCTATTTGATGCAACATTGTCATCATACTTTCCTTCACTTCTTCATTCAAACCTTACTTTAGGTCTGTGAACATACTTATAATGGCCATTTTGAAATCTTTTTCTGTTAGATCCGCTATCAGGTCACTCTCACAGGCAGTTTCTTTTGCCTGTTTGTTTCCCCAGTATAT